TAAAGACTTGTGTCGTTAAAATTTCCTCGGAACGAAGTTACGAAAAAATCAATTAACAAACGGAGACGTAACAATATTATACTTCAAAACATTCCAAGATGGATATTTACCCTAATTACTCCTCATAATAAACAAGAAGTTAAATTTGAAATAAACTGGTCTATAAATTAACTTCCTCAATGACTTCATAAAATTAGTAATACTATTTTACTTTTCTGAATTAGACAGTGCTGCAAAAAGTTTGTCTTCATAGTTTGAACTCTCTTCAAGTTGTAGTTGCAACATTCAAATTGCCTTTTTTCTTGGAAAATTTTAGGTGTGATTTCTATGCAGTGCTTTGTATGTCAAAGTGAATAAATTCAGTCAAGCATGGGTAAATTGTAGAACTAACTATGACTCAAAGGAAGGAGACTCAAACTATCCCCAGACAGTTGGCAGCACCAACCTAATAATTTTCTTGTAAAAACACTGATTGCATTGACCTCTGGAAGGATCTTCTCATGGTACAAATGAATATAGGTACACCCTATAACTAACATCTCCAGGCATGAAGGAAGACATAAGGCTACTAACTCAACAGTAAGTGCACAGGAATGAGGGCCAGAATAGACAAAATGAAGAAAAAATATGATGCAGAAAAAAGTACAGTGTAGGAACAAAGTACAGAAGTAGTTTTAAGATAGGCTAAACTGTTATTAATGTAATGCCAGAAGTATAAGAAATAAAATAGAAAAGTGTAAAGCACTAGGCAGAAAAGAAGATTTTGATGTAATGGAAATAACTGAAACATGGTTAAATGTAGGAAATTTTGATAACAGAAATTTCTTTGAAATACAGGGTTATAAGCTATTTAATAGGATGAGGAAACTAAAGAGAGTCAGAGGAGCAGCTTATATAAAAAATTTGAAATACATCCTGTTTAACTTGAGGATATTAAAACTAATAGCAAGGAGGTTGACTTTATTTTGGTTTCTGTTAGCAGATACAGGGGGAGAAGGCTTTTAGTTGGAAACTGATAAAATTAATGAGAAACTCTACAGTAAGATAAAGATTTCAGCTGTTATTGTGATTATAATTACATGAGATTTCAATTTCAGGCATATAGAGTGGAAAACGTTACCATCAGACCACGATGGAGATAGGTTTTTTAAGAGACCATTCAAGATGGTTTTTCTTCACCATTTGGTCAGGGAACTTTCTTGAAACAATGCTATTATATAAAATACCAATGGTTGAGAGCAACAGGACATCTGGGTGCAAATGATCATTGGTATATTAGGTTTGGTACTTTTACTGCACATGGAGATCAGAAATAATAAGACTTTGGTTACAAATGTCAAAAAAAGCAAATTTTCAAGATACGTGATAAGAATTATCTGTTGTGAAATTGGTAGCTGAATTAATTGAAGGCACTGATCAAATGTGAAAAATATTCTTAAATACATTTAAAATATTCAATATATATACAATAAAATCTATATAAAAGATTAGTAATCTACAGTGGAAAAATATAAAACTAAACTCTTCAAGAAGCAACTTGTCGAAACATATGAACACAATATTGTACTCAACTTACTTTTCAGCTGGGAAAGCAATTTCAACTATATAAATTTCGTCATCATTAATCTGCCTGGAAACTCTTCCACGTTTATTACATACAACATTGACCATCAAGTTGCTGCAGACTCCTGGTGAGGCATCAGTACACACATGCCAGTCTCGATTCATCTGAAGCAAGCTATCAATTACCCGACCTCGCAAGATTTTCTTTCCAGACTCCGAGCATACCACAGTTGTTGGGAAGGTTAGGGCTACTCTGAAGATTCTTTGGGCTGGACTTTTTGCTGTATGGTTTATATCATTAAGTTCACTTTTAAATCAGTCTGTCTTGAGTGTTTATCAACAGATGTTGTTCAAAAGATAAATAGTGAGAGTTAAAGCAGTTGTAAATTAGGAAAGGCAACATCTTTGCTAAATTACCATAATAATGAAATTGAAAACAGTTTCATGAGCAAGTTGTAACTTATCAAATGTTCAAAGATGAATAAATGAATAATCTAAGAAATATGTTATAACTGAAGAAATTTCTGAAGCATAGTGAAAGCTATATAAAAAAAACAATCATACATATAATGTATTTATACATTTCAATCTTCTTTAATGGGTAAATACTCAAGATTCATATCATTAACCATTTATGCTACGTATCTATCATGGCTATTATTTCAGATGGACCTTCAATAGCTTTATAAAACCATTTTCTGAAATACACTTACGTGCACAAGCTGGGAAAATGAAATGGGTGCCAAGGTCAGAGGTTGGTCTCCAGAATCCTTCTGCACCACAAGTATAAAAGTCTGCCACCGGCTGAGAAAACTCTAGTCCCTCATCACAGGAAATCTTACATGCTTTAAAGCTGCCATTAGGTCCCCAGTCAGAACAATGACGCTGACCACCGACTGGAGGTAGAGGAACTGGACAGAATTCACCTATGTGGCAGAAGTTAAGAAGTGATTCACATCTTAATTCATCCAAAAATTCATTCATCCTAATAGCCACAAATTATAGAAATAAACTATTATCAGCATGGAAGTTTTTTTAATATAAATAATACTTTTATTATTCTAAAGTAATTATTACCAGTTTTAAGAGTTTGCAGAGCAGATTGAAAGTTGAAAACCAGATATTGATACAATGAGTAAAACAATACTAGGAAAGAAAATATATTTAAACTCAACATTTTAGTATTTGTGTTTTTGTTTTTCAATGGCTCACACCATCACAGACTATCAATGTATAAATAAAGTAATTCACAGTCATTTAAACAACAGGCAGTAATTAGTTTGATACATTGAGCCCTTGAAATAGCCATCTATCAAAATGTCACACGTAAATAAAAGAAAAAAAAATTAACATATCTCAAAGAAACAAACAAACAATAATGAAAATTAACACAACTGACACATGTTATGGTAAGACACTAAGTATACTACCTAACAATTACATTTTTGAGACTCAAGCAACTTTTTAACTAACACTGTTGAACTTAATTACATACCTTTTTATCATTATTTTCAACAAAACCCACTTATGTTCATTTAAATCATCTAATGAAGCATATTAAAGATTCCACCAAAACTATCAAATACTGTTTAGAGAGTTTAAAATTTTCAATTAATTTTTACCTCAGAAAAACGTTTTCCAAAGCTCTCAATAAAAATAAGTCATGTTTAACTTTATAAATGATCAAAAAAGAAATTCTCTATACATTAAAAGAAATGCGTGCACACACACACACACATATATAGGCTTCTTTCTGGCTTGAAAAAGAGCATTTGCTGAAACGTCGCCAAGAAAATAAATTAATACCATAGTTTTTAATGGTGATTTATCTTCAAATATTTAATTTCTATATTTTATCACCATCACATTTTTCTACCTACCTAGGTGTGTGTATATATATATACGACAAGACAAAAAAAAATTATACAAGTTTCCATTTTTTTAGACAAGCATCTGAATTTTAATTTACAAGTACTGAGTACAGCTCATACTTACTAAGGACATGAATATGAAAGTCACACTGGGCTGTATTACCAGCTTCGTCAGTAGCCACATATGCCAAGTTATAAACTCCACGCAAAAGTGTTTGCCCTAAAAGTTTTTAAAGTATTGAGATTAGAAAGTACAGTGTATTATATAAAATGAAATACAAAATACAAAAATGGAAAGGAAGATTTAAATTTGCACTTATCACCACTTTTCCTTTTTTTAAACTCAATAACTTATTTTCTAATACCATGAAAAAGTTTTAAAAACCTACAATACAATAAAAGTAAAAAGAATTTGAAATAAGGTATACCAATAGATAATGCCTTTTATATCAGTTGTATTTTATGAACATCGAATTTTACTTACCAGGCTGTAACCCATTATGCTCTATCACTCTGATAGAGTGAAGGTTGTCCGAGAATTGAGGAACCTTCCAATTGATTACTGCTGTCATATTCTGCGTGATCACCCACATATCTGGTGGACAGTAAGTTACAACTGGTGGCACCTTATCTTTTTCTATCACATGACAGCTTTTTCCACCCAAACCAGTGGGGCAGATCCTCTCTCCACACATGCCTGGTTCCTCTCTTTCAACTGTTCCATCCACCCTGACATAAGAAAAGTTAATGAGTACGTATAGTTACAAGGACTAAAACAAAATTACATTTATATTTATCAATTTCCACATTGTTACATTATGTAATCACACATTCTCTAGAAAATTAAACCTTATGACAAAAATGTTCACTTGTTACTGTTTCTAATCAAAACTATCTTTCTTTTAACAAATAGAAAATGCTAAGTGATAATCCAAATTGCACATTTTAGCAGTTATAAAGTTTTAAATATTGAGATGCCTTATAATCTCAACTAATAATTAAGCAGATCAAAAAATAAGTACATGTTTTACTTGAACTGTTATTTGTAGGAAAAAATTAAATTTATTTAATATACATGTATATACTAAATATATTTTTGCTAACACTAATTACGATTGGAACAAGTTAACAGATCTTAAGATACATAAACATTTAAAATAAAAGTATTTTTACAACCTAAATAGGTAGTGCTTAATAACTTCCATTTCTAAATCAAATGTTCAGTCCACATTTTTGTCAGAATGAGTAATATACTTCCAATGGGTTGGTTTATGGATAAAGATTAATCATTAAAGACTCCTCACATCATACGATTTAAAATTAATTGTTCATGCTGCTTTTAACTGTGAAAATGTTTTCTGAACATCTCATAGAATTGTACTAGTTTTAGGTAGTTACTTAGCAACTTCAACCTTGAACTTGTTAAAAACAGGGATAAGGTTGTGTGTTAAAGAAATAGATAAATTCTATACCAGTCATAGCCAGTCCATCTTAAATGCAATCCATCAAAAATTACAGCAGCATTCTTGCAGCTACGGAACTGAGAAGGTATTTCTGATGTCATGTCCAAAGGTCTACCCCAGATGTTTACACGACTAATGCGACCATGGAATCCCTTCTGCACTATTGCCTTATTCTTCTCATTCATGGGTGCACCAAGAGTAATCCAGCCACTAGTAACAAAAATGTTCAATTTTAACAAATCTCAGTGAAAAATAGTTACCATTAAGGTTTTTGTAAAACATAAACTTATGAATAGTACAAAAATTCAAGTTCATTTCACAATAAAATCTTGTTAGTATTCTAGGTTCTTTTAGTGCAATAATCTATTTCTATTATACACAAAAAATTCAAAACCAACAGAGAAAGACTGATCTGAAATCATTACTTCTATGTAATGACCTTCATAAGTTCATATTTCAATATTCAACTTCAACTACAGAGGCCTGCAAATTTAAACTTCCATAATTCAGCTATGTAGATTTTGAAAAATAATATTCGTTTTTTCTTTCTATCATGTAAGGATTTGTTTTTACAAATCAGGAATAAAAAAACTCTTACTTAGATCAAATTATTATTTCATTTGTCAGAATGAACATATTTTATTATTATGTTTGTTATATTTGGGTTCTAGAACGATCAATAAGACTCACATTGTGAATTTTCTAGAGAAATCTATAGCCAGCAGTTGCCAACATTTTAAGCATAACAAAATGTGACCCAATTTCAATGAAAATGATTTACTTATGTAAAAGTACATATGACATTTTGTGAAAAATCTGTAGGTGATGGAGAAAAATGGATATCATTTTTGAATCAGCATACAGGAATTATTGTAGAATATGTAAAAATGTGTTATTAATAAATTTTTACACAGACCGTCTTAGTTTTATTATTAAAACTTTACCAGTACAGTGTTGAATGAAATATTTCCTCATATGAAATGGTTTTGTGGTATAGGTTTTTGGTAACTATGCATTATAAATCCCACCAATGTCTAAACTTATGAATTCAGGAGCATTTTAAATAAACAATTTCATGCGATTGAAAATGTTATTGTTTCTGCCTTTGAGTATTATTCCTATATGCAATTGTAAATACTACTAAGTAACAAGAAATGGATTGTGGACTTTGCATAGCTCAAGAGTCCTGCTAAACACCATCAGTGAAATGAAAACTAAAACTTCTCACAATCAAGATGCATTTGCTTATTTAGTTAAAGATTTTGCCTTTCAAACAGAGCTGTGGGTTTAAATCCATCTGGTGTCTGTTTTTCACCTCTTAAGAAAAAGAAATTTAAGAACAAACATATACCCTACATTGATATCAGAAAAATGTATGATACGAACTATAATCAAACCTCCCAGATCCAAAAATGTGTTATTCGGCACCACCCATTTTTTGGCTATCTTTAGGAAAATGAACAGATATTACTTTTACAGTAAAATACTGTTCAATGAAGTACAGTAGTGTCCAACAAATGTAATTTTCTCTTTTCAGATTGGTCTGCAGGTTTTTAAGAAATAATAATAAATACTGTACAATAAAGTATTTTCCCATGCATATTATCTTTCTCTTGATGTAGAATACACTGTAGAGTACTATGTACAATAAAATGCAGTATTCTTAATTTACTTTTAAATTTATGTATGACTATAAATATGACCACCTGAAATATGGCAAACTCCAAGATCCAGCAAGACCCAAGTTTGCCAGATTTGGGAAGAGGCGACTGTACTTTAATTCTTAACTGTTTACACTAGCAAGTCTTTGTACTTGGAAATAAAATATGAATTTGTTAAACTTACTATTGAGGCAGAGTGACATTCCTAAGAAGTTTGTCATTAATATATTCTGGAACTGATTGAGCTACAGCTGTGTCAGTAATGAGAGTTACTGTCTTTTTCTTGCCATCCCAAATCAACACTATGTGATGCCACTGACCATCATTGATTGGTACATTCTTCAAATAAGGAATGAACACACTGGTGTTCATATTAGGGAAGAGAGAAACAAATACCCCTGACTCATCAACCTGAATTAGAACCTTCTTATCAACTGGAAGATGAGGAGAGCTGAAAAAATAAGAAAACAGGGGTAAGTCTTCCAGATAAAGAAACTTCCTTTAACCTGCAGTGACTTATTCATACCTAATTAACAGTGATAGACTCCACCAGTCTGTTAAGCAAAATGAACAATAACGTTTTAGCAAATACATTTTAAGATACTTTTAAATCTCATGAAATAAAGAAAAAAGTAAGTTCAATGTACTTAATTTGAAGTAACTTGTTGCAAAGTTGAATTATAAGCATGTTGGATCCTGTTTTTTTATGGTTTTAATAAGTTTATTTTCTAATACTTATTAATTTTTAAAAATTTACAAGCATTATCAAATTACTTAAAAAATAATACAAGTTATACATCATACACCAACACTAATTAATTCAGTAAATAAAATAGAAAGTTATTTGAAAGACTGTTGGTATTAAATGAAAAGAGCATAAAAATGTACATTTATTAAACATTACTGATAACTCTTAACACTTCAACATTCAAACTAAAAATGTAAAGATATACAAATAACAATTTCACTATAAACTGCTCTGAGGATTGATAAAACAATCTAGCAATAATGAGGTAAAATATCTTCAGAAGATTTTTTAAACTACTTACGCAACGCTGTAGAGTGTAAAAACTGTTCCTAAGTCTTCTGGCTTGTTGTACTGAACCCAAAAAGCTACAGTTAAGCTGTTGGAGCCTAATTCAAAGGGAGTAGCCAGAGCTACACTGGATGACCGGCTATCATCATTTATGTACAGATCATAGTCAATGTTGATTGCTTAAAAAAAAGATTAAAAGAGAATGATGTGAAACAGCAGTGATTAAGTACATCCATTAGTTGGGGTTAAAATGTTTACTTAAAGAATATAGTAACAATGGTATAAATTAAGAATTATCAAAAATTACTTTCCAGCTTTATGAATATTGCCTCATGCATGTATAATTAAATAAAAAAACGCCCCTGTAAAGATGTACAACAATTTATTTTATAGTAAGAAAATATATCTGAATGTCCTTAATTTAAGCCAGACGATTAACACTAAGCACTTAACAATTTGTTCATGAAACTATCCAACAATTACCTTTTCAGTTTTTTTTTTCCTGAAAATAATTTTAGGACCAGCGTTATCTTCTGAGATAAATACTTAAATCACAAAGCCTACAGCATTTTTATTCAATTTTTAGATAGTGTTTAATAAAATAACAATAAATAAAAGATTCAATGAATTCAACTAACTAGTATTGTTATCATTTGCACTAAACTTAATGATATAAATGGAACATGTATAAGACCTTAAAATAAAGAAAGTTAAGCCTGACGAAGATCAGTTGCTCCAGATGTTGCTAGATAAAATAAACTTGTTTTTATTTTAATGTTGTATTTTTACAGTGATTATATTTTATTGCATTTATCTTCCAATATTGTGAAGATTTAAATTCCTCTGAATACCAATACCTTTCCACATGTTAAAACATTCTCCAAGTAAAACTAACCAATTTCAAAGAGAAAAATTAAAGCTGTGATAATATCTACGAGTTTATACTCCATATTTTAGGACACATAGCAGGTACTAAATAAAATGTCAGGATACATCTGTATTGGTAACCAGTTCACTGATAACCTTAAGCAACACGTTTTCAAGATTTAATTCCAATTTACTAATGTTTGTTCATTGAGAAAACATACTAAATCAGTAGCTTTTGAAAACAGTGTCAGTTTTATGTTTAATGTACTGTTACACAGATTATGTCAGAAAAAAGAAGCCCAGGATAAGATCAATGTGATCAGTAGTTGGGAGGTTTATACTTTTCAATTGTTTAATCAAATTTGCAGAGCAAGAATATAAGTTTTGCAAATAGTGAAGTGGTTACAAACTAGTACAAAATGTTTATATTAGAAAACAATTTCAATAAAATTACAACAAAGCACCTACTTTTACGGCAGTCTTCACCAGTTAAGTTAAAGGGACATTTACAGTAGAACCCATTAGTCAAATCGATGCAAGTTGCTGTTGGAGAACAAGAAGTGGAGGTACAGTCTGGAATGTCTTCATTACAGTGACGTCCAGTGAAGCCAGGTGGACAGATACACCTATAGTCTTCCCCTACATTTTCACACGAAGCACCATTCTGGCACACATGGTCAACACAGGCGTTATATTCATACTGACAGCCAATTCCAGAAAATTTAGCTGGACAGGAACAGTTAAGTCCACTTCCATAATCCTTACAAATTCCATCATTCATGCATGGGTTACCAATACACCTATTAGGAGATGTCTGGCATTGTTTGCCATCAGTTCCAGATGGACATCTAAATAAAAAATTAAATACAATAACATATATAACAAATGTTTTTAATCTTTTACTTTAAAATATACATAATGGACGAGAAAAAACTTTTAATATTGTAATAAAACTGACATTAATTAGAAATTAATATAAATATAATGTTCTTTTTAACATTACATTTCACATATTGCATCTATATGGATTTATTATTATTAATTTTTTTTTGTAGAAAATGTGTTTTTTAAGTAAAACATACTGGACATGGTTTGATAATAAGAACATGAAACTAGGGAAATATTTAGTATTAATTACATGTGTTAAGAGTAAATTTCAAACAATTTACATAGATGTGAGAATTATCATTCAAATATGTAGCACTATTACTTGAAAGTAATTCAACTATGTTCACATATTCAGTGTATCTAGGATTACAGAAATGTAAATTCAACTTACACACAGAAGTAATCTTGAAAGAGATCTATACATCTGGCATCATTTAAACATGGATGAATGTCACATCCTCCAATGTCTATCTCACATCTGTCTCCTGACCAGCCTGATGAACACTGACACTTAAACCCATTCACGGAATCTATACAGATTCCATCATTTCGACAAGGACTGCTGGCACATTCATTTATATTGATCTACCATGAAATAAGGATGAAACAGATCACTTTCAATTAATCTACTTACCTGTAACAAAAGTTCTTAAATATAAATAAGAATATATTGTAACTTTAATATAAATATAGGTGGCTAGCATTGAAGGTAATATTTCAGGATGTGGTAAAAAATGTACCATTACCTCACTCAAATGTATTGATGTATTATTATTAAAAAAAAATAATATTTGGATGTAGTTCAGGTAGTTTTATAAATTATCATCATTCCCAAACTAATAACATTACGAGTTGATTTTGCTGCTAAAAGATATCCTAAGCTTATTTCCTAATATTCTGATATAAAATTAAATGCCCTACAAAGGTGAACTTATTCATAGCTCCAGCCACCAAGAACTGGATGCTGTGTTTCTCTGCTGATTGCTAAACTGGCTTTAGCAGCACGATTCCCTCCATTCTTCTTTAGAGACCATTCAAAAGTTAAAAAGCAATTAATTAAATTGAAAAATTAATAAAAAGTATATTATAGAATTGAGTAAAACAAAAACAATTGTACATTTCACAAGCAATTCTTTTATTATGACCATGGTCTCATCAATAAAGGAATCAACAGGTACATCAGTTACTGATGAAACCAAGGGCATAATAAATGAAATATCTATAAAATATATATACAATTGTCTTTATTTTCTTCAATTCTTTAATTATGGAGTTTTACCCAGTACTAACATTTATGTATCAATTATACAAAAAACACACCAACTAACAAAATTACAAATATTTATACTGTCACATGAAAATAAGTATTGTGAAACTACTGGTTGCTGTAATTTCTCATTGTTTTTGCAATTGGAAAATTTACCTTTTGCATCTCCTACTACATTTTACTTCAGCAAAATTAACAAAATACTGTCATTAATACAAGTTTACAAAACAAAATATTCTTCACATAATTAATTCATTAACCTATGAAACAGATAACAAAATTCTCATCAAAATCACTGGTCTGTTAAAGAAATGTTTAGTACTCTGAACAAATTTTAGCATACCATTTATTTTATGTAACTATCATCAGGTAGAGTTTAAATTAATAATTGGAAACACTAATTTTGATTAGTTGATTATTTCCATGACATTAGTTGGTGTACATGACACTAACCAATTGTCATAGGCAATTGATTACTCAAGTTAATTGCCCAGCTCTATTAACAAATACAAAAATTATTAAACCATGAACATGTTTATTTAGAAAGATCTTTTGTTTGTACAGAAATCTGTCTGAAAGATGTACATAACGAAAAAAAAAGTTTTTATAAATCCAAGTTGCATATATGCATTTCAGAATAAGGAATTTCACTAACTTAATAAAAAAAGTTGTAAAAATGACTAAGTTATTGTGATTTCTTTTAAGTTAGTGCTTTTGGTCTGATTTTATTTTACTTCAAACACTATTTATATGCAATTTTATTTTTCTTAAATGCTAGTGTTAAGTGTTTTTGGAATTATTATTAACTCATGAGCATAAAAAAAGAAAGAAAGAAAAAAATCATTAACTAGAAAATGTACTACATTTATGGATAAGAAATATCTATATTTACCTCACAGTTTTCACCTGTATAACCTGGATTACAGATACATTGGAACATGTTGTCCAAGTCAATACAAGTATCAGTTCCTGCTGGATTACAAGGACTGCTCACACATTCATCGACTTCTGCTTCACACTGTAGCCCCACATAGCCGGGTCGACACTGACAGATAAATCCATTTAAAAGATCCACACAGGTGCCACCATTTTGGCATGGTAATGACTCACATTCATCAATTTTATGTTGACATCTAGAACCTGTAAAGCCAGTGTCACATTGACAAAGGAAACCATCAACCAAGTCAACACATTGTCCTCCATTACTGCAAGGATTGCTTCTACAATCATCAATATCTATGTTACAGCTCTCACCGGTCCAGCCAGGATTACAAATACATTCATGATTGATTAAGCGATCAACACAGACACCATAGATGCAAGGTTTACTGGTACACGTGTCTTTTTTCAGATGACACCGTTTACCATTAAATCCTGGTGGGCAGTCACAGTGGAAATCATTCACTAGATCAGTGCAATTAGCACCAAGCAGACATGGGTTCTGTGCACAGTCATCTGAAATAAGTGGAAAATGACTGAATACCTGTGGCTGTTACTTTAAACATGATAGATATTCAGTGTTGTTGACTTTACAGCTTCTTGTTTACATACATAATTTAACTACATTCTTTGGTTCATACATATATTATGTACATAAATAAGTATGCATGCATGCAAACACTTAACAATCCTGACTTTGAAGGTTTAAGTAATTAAAATTATCAAAAATTATGCATGCAAAAACAGCCTTATATTCCAATTGAACATTGGAAAAGTTTGTATTTTAAACAAGTGATATTATAAAAATATTCAATAAATGTAATAAAGATCAGAGTATTATAAAGTAAGATCATTTAAAAGAAACTTGTTTAAACACTACTTTTCATGTTAGCCTAGTAGCTTTTTCATTTCTATTTTTATCTACCAATTTGAACTCTTAAAAAGAAAACTGTGGTTATTAACACAAAAAGTTTTTTTTACCAATATTCTGTTCACAGGATGTGCCTGTCCATCCAGGAGGACATTCACACTTGAAGCGACCTTGCTGGAGAGGGACACAAGTGGCGCCATTATTGCATGGATTTCCTTTTGCAACACAAGGATTAACTGTTACATTACATGAAGGGCCTTCATAACCTGATCGGCACAGACATTTAAATGTGTTCTTTCCTGGCAAGTCCTGGCACATGGCTCGTTCTGGACATGTGGTGTTTCGACACTCATTTTGCTCAACTTGACACTGCCTTCCAGAATAACCTGTATATAAGGTATAAAAATTTTTAAAGTTATCTTCTGGAATAAAGAGTAATTATTATCATAATTTTATAAAATATTTTAAAGTATTTCTTAGGATTTGAAAGAAACATTCAGCAAATATTTTAATTATTTTGAAAGTTCTGCATATTCCAATGAAATATATTAATTTGTACTTTTACAAGTCTTCTGAAAAGATTTTGAATTACAAGTAATGGTCAATATATTAATACTATAAGTTTTGAAGGAGTATTAACTGAAAATAATTAGGATCACTACTAACAGGTGTGAATGGCAATCAAGTCAACTCTTGAGCTCAAAATATTTTAATTGCAATCTTTTCTTCATTGATTTATAGATATAATTAGTAAGAATAATAAGTTGGTGACTTTTATGGCTCAGAACTCCAATACTATTTAGTAGGATGTGCAAAGTGAATCTTGTTTTGAGTAACTAAGAATAATTATGTTTCAGACCATTTCATGTGTTTCATTATAACTATATCACAAATACTCTTTTTAACTCAGTCAGAAATATATTAATGTTAATGTATTCTTCCATATCAAATAAGCCATACCTTGCTAAAAGCAAATGGATGTGTAGTTATAGAGGGTGGGATTCAGTTATCACTATCATAATACTCCAGAACACTACCTTTCAAATGAATAATTGTTCTATAATTATTTCAAATGCTTCTAGTTGATAATGACCGAAATAGTGTTATAAGCTTTTGAATTAACAACTACAGATGATTCAAAACAATTTTTTATATGGCTATGATCTGGAACGATACTAAGATGTTAATGTTGTTACTTTATATGGCTATGATCTGGAACGATACTAAGATGTTAATGTTGTTACTTTATATGGCTATGATCTGGAACGATACTAAGATGTTAATGTTGTTACTTTAAAACTTGACATGGATGATATGCGTGTTGTAGTAGTTTGAGTTATGAAAGAAAAAGTGACTCATTAGAATGTGTTAGTGGGTTAACCCTTTAGCACAATTGGTAGAGCACTCACCGGGCATGTGACGGGTCTAAGGTTTAACCAAGAGCCAAGGAAATAATAAAAACTGAAAGTACTAAAAGAAAAAACTGGTATCCAACTGGTGATCATTTCCAACCCTCAGATAAGGCCCAAGAATGGGTTTTGTTTGTGAGAGGGGAAGAAAGTAGTAGTCTGAATTGTTAAAAAAGTGACTTACTAGCATCTACTAACCTTTAGCTCAGTTGATGGAGCTATGGGCTGGTATAAGACAGGTCTCAGGTTCATATTTGAGGTGAGAAAATATACATTGGAAAAAATAATCACCATAGTGTTTAAGACCCATGCCCAATAAGCAGAAATTATTCAAAAGCCACAACAATTCCAAAAAAGTGTACCACATAGCTGAGTGTGTGCATATTTTTACTCACAGAGCATGATAGGGATGCCTAGATATTTCTGACACAGCAGTGTATAAATTTCAAGCTATAAAGGCAGATTGTAATGACTTAAAAGAAAAAGTCCTGTGAATTACCCTGTTGACAAAAATGAATAAAGTTAAAAACGTTAGTCTGTGGTATTATAAACACCAATTTTCACTTGGTTATCCGATGTAAATTCATATCATACTTTGCTTTTACTTCCATATAAAATTACAAATTCTTATTAGAAATATAAATCAATAAAAAAGTACAACTAAAATATTGGACTACAAATTTTCTGACTGTAAAAATGCATAATAAAAACACCACATAGGTCCAAGATAGTGAACTAAACATTTTACATGCATCAACCTAACTGAAATAAAGATCTTCACACAATTACTAATAATCTTGATTTCAGTTAGGTTAACAGTAAAATATATTAATGTTAAATATGTCAAAAGCGTGATTTTGTTTATTTTTGGCACACTCTTTTGGGATATGCTAGATTTGCAAAGTACCACACCTTTTAATTGGCTTCGGTCTAAGCTAAAGCAAGAGATAAAGATAAGGTCTTTTTAAAGTGATTGCTTTATATCATGATAATTTTGTTTTTCACTATTATTCAATCTACTATTCTGCAGGGTTCTAAAGTTTCAGCAGTGATCAACTGATTTTTAAACACTCTAAAAAAGCCATTACTGTCTGAAACATTAATTTCCACTTTATTCATTAACTAACTGTGCGTGTGTTTTGATTTTAAAAATTGTGTCAAGATTTAATTAAATAAAAAATCTAATAATACTTTACCAACCTTGTTGACATTGACACCTAAAGCCCTGAGGTCTATCAATGCAGGTACCACCATTGTAACAAGGTCCACTACTACATTCATCCATGTCCACTTCACAGAACTGACCACTGAAGCCTGCTGGGCAGTAGCAGGTTTGCTGGTGGTTCTTGATAAGACATATCCCTCCATTTTGACAAACATTATTGTTGCATAACACTAAATAATGGGTTAAAATATAAAAAATGTTTAAATCTTCTTTCTTCACTTTCTTGAAAATCAAGTAATACATCAATATCTACAATCCAAGTCTATTTTACAATTGGTTTAATAATTCATATCTATACATTTGTAACTAACTCAAAAATAATATTACATATTTTAATTTAGATTCCATCTCCAAAAACTTCTTAAGGACATTTGAGACATTATAATTAAATGCAATTTTTAAGTTTTAAATACTGTTTTATTGTTTAACCATCAATTCACGATTTCAGTAATATGTAGTCCACTGGGGTAATACAGACATAAAAGAAACAGCTGATAAGGCTCTCTTCAAGTAACAGCCTATATATATATAAAATTATGAGCAACTAAGGTCTTTTTTACACTAGCTTGATAGTCAAAGAATATTCACAATACTAACTGTATACAAGTTTGGATAAACTGCAAAAAAAAATAAAATATCTGAATACTCTTCTCATAGGTTTTTATTATTATTATTATTGATTATAAAGAGGTTTATTATGTTCAACCAGAAAAAAAATTGTTCTTAAAGTGTAAATTGAACCATGTATGATCCTTATACAATAGCAAATTTCTTTTGTAAAATTTTTCAAAAATAAAAATAAATACATTTCCAAATTTCTATCATAATTTCAAGAACTATCACTTGTCATACAATCAAATTCAAAGTTTACATGTAAAAAGTTTTGAGCTATGTAGATAAACTACCTGGAACACAAGCTTCTCTGCTCAAGGCACCCGATTTCACAGTTTGCTGATTGGCATCACACTCCAAACATGTTGTTTCACCTTCATTTGGCTGATAAAAATTTGCTGGACATAGAGAACACGGCTCAAGACCAGTTTCAGAGTAAGAACCAGAAGGACAACGTGCTGAAATGCAAGTATGTAAATGCTGATGAAACACATTTTTTCTTTAAGAAAAAGACCATTTATGTCCTTTTTTTTTTTGGGTGTTTCATTTACAGATATAAAACTTGACTAAAAATTCAACTTGTTTGACTTTCCTGTGAATGTAAAATTACAACTGTAAAATATTTTGTAAATGTTAGAACAACCTTAAAAGTCCAAGCATGCTTTTCCTTCAGAGACCAGAGAAGTGAGCAGAGTTAAAGTTTTATATTTTCATCTGTGAAAGAAGCACTGATTATTTTTGTGCTTCTCATTTTTGCATTTTCTACATCAGTTATCAAACTTTTCCAAACATGTGAAATGGCCATGTGCATCTATTATACAATAAACTGGTTTTTAATCTGAAATTACTGGTGAAATTAAAAGAAAATACCGAATAATACACAATCAATAACTAGTAAACAACAACTAGTGAACAAGACTCAACAATGTGTCATGTCTGCCTGAAAGCACTAAAACTGCTCTCACAATCTATGCTCTATCTGTAACTGACCAATCACTAAAACCCAGATGTAACTTTGCTTTACAACTGTAACATGAAGCAATATTAAGTGTGATACAATTATTCTATGAAACAGCAGATAATGCTTACCAATTGAAGACAGAGTTATCATCTAGTTCTGAAATAGTATGACCTAGTCTATTAAATGTTATAGATGTATGCTTTGAAAAGAACCTGTTTAGTTTAGTACTGTGGTATACAGATATCACACTATCCTATAGAGTATATATGTATACTCTATGCAATAACTGCATACCACAAAAATAAAAGTAAATTAAACAGGTTAATTTTAATGCACAATTCCTCACTAACATATTATAAAGGCACTGTAATTCAGATACTTAGCATCTTCACCTATAAAATACTAACTTAGACATAAAAAAATATTTACCAAGTAGCCACAAACCTTTTATTACAAGCAATATTTTTGTAGAGTGGGTACTACTTTAAGGCTACCTCTTGATCTGGTATTTTTATAACATCACAGATTTCCATAAACTCATAAAAGACATCCTTCCTTCTCTTCAATCAGTTTATAAAATTCTCCTACTCTCTACCAAAGCTAGTTCCTTGATGCTTGGATATGAATCCATACATAATAGGTTTATGAAAGAATAATTGCATGCTTCTTTTGCAAGACTTAAAATTTTAGTTAGGTCTCTACAAAACTGTTAAGTCTCAGTCACAGGTTTGAAACATGCTTCTCTTATATTTCTCAATGTCTGTAATGTTTAGATCAATACCAAATTTGTCATTTTAGGGGGGAAAATGACACTCTGAAAACAGCTAATCAATGTTTCCTGAACAAATACAAAAATGATGTTTTATAACAATATATGTTTGCCTACTACATTACCTTTACATTCTGTGTTTGAAGCAGCCCCAGGAGAATATGTGAAGGTATTACCAGGGCAACGCTGACATTCAGTGAACCCGTCAGGTGGTGGAAGACCAGCAAATGTATTACTTGGACACTGTAGGCATGGTACAAGACCAGTTGGAGAGTAAGATCCAAAACCACAGGCAGCTATAAAAAAAATCAAAACAGAATTAAAATTAGAATTAAATAAAAAAATATTTCTGCATGAAAACAATATTTTTGCTACAAGTTAGAGCCTTACAGGACCTTATAATAATTTGTAAAATCAAGTTCATGAGGAATGTTCAAAGGTTTAAGATGATTTCTGCTTGCCAAGCCTAACCTAGATTTGACTACTGTCTAAGGTCTGAGCATTTTAAATGGTACAGATAATATTTTTCTTACACTTTGTACATTTCCGATTTATAACTCCAACAAGACTGCATCTATTTATGAAATCTTAACTACAACATTGCTATCAGAAATGTTCTGTTTTCTCTCTTACATATAGCTGAAAGAGTTAATCACTTCCTTATTAGTATTTTATCCTCTGACTGGTTTACATTATAAGTCATATTATATTAAACAGTAATTCATTTTTAACTAATCTGTCATGGTGCATAATTCAAAATCTGAACATTCTTTAGTGTATTTTCTTTAGCTCAGTTTTACTATTGTGATGTATTGAGATCCAAAGTTAACCAGAATTCCAAAAATGTTAGAACAATTTTCGTGACTACAGTTTAGCAGCATATAACTTGTTTTTGCAAGTTTTAATTAAATTTTGTCACTGATAACTAAGTGTTTACAAAAATTATCTACCATAGAAGTATTCTTTGCTCAAATGCATTGATTAGTCTGTACAACAAATGTAACAGCTGAAAGAGTTATTGCTAGTGAAAACAAGACATTACTGAAACTGAAAAAACTACTAGTGCCTGTTACTGGGCTAAGATTATAATTTCTTAGGCAATCTGAAATCATTAATGTCTTAACAGTAATTATCATAGCTTTGAGCTCAAAGTTAAAAATAAAACAAAATACAATCCTGCATTTTCCTTTGTTACCAACATATTTCAAATTCACCCAAGACATTAATCTGTGAATTTACATATTTATATTAATACCTTTATACCAGAATGCCTGCTGTTATTAAAAGTGTACCCAACTTTTGACAACTGTGAAAAAAAACTTAATAACAGGTAATATAAACTAATGAAAGAAAAAATACACGAAACACTGAAATATAACCCCTTAAAAGGAGGAGTATAATGTATCTTAGGAAACCTAGTGGTTATATAATTTCTTTCACCATGACCTATTATGTATGCAAAGTTTTTTACAAAGTATTTTAACATATTTGATCAATTACATTCTTTATTTTCAAGAATCACTATCATGATAGGCATAAATATGGTGTGAATAAAGAGAAATCAAATTAATTAAACATAATGCTTTATCACTTTAGAGGTAATTATGTTGAATGATGTTTACAGTGCTTGTAGCAATAAGCATGTAAGTACTTGGAACTAAAGAACCAAATTAACAACTTTGTGATAGTTAAATGGACATTGTAAACAACTTTTGATATGAAATTTATTATCTTATAAAAAATCTCCATTCAAAAGATGGGTAAAGTGAAAGCCGCCGAAGAATTTTTATTTTTTACAACATTATACATTATAATCTCAAAACAGTAAGTAATTTTCTGGAATTATTCTTCAGTCTTGACTCTGGATTGGGTAAACCTGACAAATTTTCTGAAGAAGCTAACATTTAAAAAGTTAAGAACTTTAAGGAATTAAATTTAGGGACCTTTTATTAGATGTGGCATAGCAGCTCCTAGAATGGCTCTGGGTTTTTTTTTTCAAGTACAAACTTTTAGCTCGTAGCTCTATCTCTCGACTGTTTTGAGATCTAATTACAGCTGCGACTATTGAGGATTCCCCCATGTTTTTTTAAATAGAAACTTTAGAAACCATTTCTTTGAAAAAAGGGATTTTTTGGAAACCTTTTATAAGTTAAGAACTTTAGGGACTAACTATGAAACCTGTGTTCACATAGAAAAAGAAATAAAGTTGCAGTAAACAATTTAAATTTTTGACATAATTAATAATAAAAAGGAGAACAACTTACAAACACAATCAGTGAGACTTTTGCTTCCTTCTGTTTGGGTGTATGTTCCATCAGGACACTGCTTACAGCTACTTTGACGTGTGATATCTTGGTAATAGCCTCTTGGACAGAACTTGCACATTTTATCAGAAGCATAAGTTCCAGCAGGACAATGTACTAATAATAGGAATATATACTATCAAGAACTGATTACCAGTTACATTTTAAGATGTACTTGAATACATATATATATATTATTTATTTATGGTCTTATGTATGTGTATAGAAAGTATATGTTATTGAGCAAAAACCCGAATTTGTTTTCCACTGATGTAGTTTGATATCTTTTATAATTTACTACTGAAGTTTTAATAACTTTTAAACTCATTTTTAAATTCTTTTAGTTTCCTTCCTAATTCTTTTTCTACTGATTTTGTTAGGCTAATGTATTTCTTTCATACTTATTAATTTTAACACAAATTATATTTTTTATTTTAATTTGTATATTTTTTGATGTGTCATAAAAGATAACTCAATTTTAGAAATTCCAAGCTTTCAAAAAGTTTTGCTGTTCTTTCACTTTATATGCACTGAAAATTAAATCATAATATTATAGGATAAGGCTTTGCATGTACTTATTGTAGTAAATGGTCTTTTTTAATCCAAAACTGTGAGATGCAATATTTTCCCCACCTATCTACAGTTCATTTGTGCAAAGAAAGGAAATTAAATTTTCCAATTATAAGGGCAATAAAATTGGCTATATAGAACAAATTTTATTCTGGTTAGTTGTGGTTTTATTTTACTAATAAAAAAGGCTGTTACTACCATACTTAGTAAAATAATATATAGTAAAAAGAGAGATATTCTATTTTTTACTTACAACAACGTGGGATTTTTCCATCTTTGCCATCATTCAGCACTTCACCTTTATCACATAAAAAGCCTTGTGTCACAGTAGACTGAGTTGCCTGGAGACCAGGACACTGTCCACCAACACTCTGAGCATTAATGGTAAGGATTGACTCAATGACTGTTGAAGTACTGGGAACACTCAAGTCAAAAATAAGTCCTAGCGTAGAGCCACAGAGATTATAGAGAAGTGATTGGTGGACCATAGGATCAATCCTTAATGTGTAGGTTATAGCAAGCTGTAGAAGACAAAAAAATGAACGAGTTTTGTTTACATAAAAAAAAAGTGATAATATAAAATAGAAACTGTGAAATATTAATTCTTAATACATACAAAGAATGTTTATAGACTAAGAAGTTGTACTAAATATTCACTAATATTTATATAATTTTTACATAGAGTACTTATTACCAGAAACAAACAAACAAAAATTTAAGTAACACGAACAAGTATGAGAGATCCTTCCTGTCTTTTTATTCTCACCTGATTTTCAGTTTTGGTCTGTATTGTAGTATTTTGGAAGGAAATATTCATTTGAACATTGATGGCAGAACAGCGTTGAGAAAGAGCTTGGTTCAAAGAAGTATAGTAGGTAGACACATAACTAACATACTGGCTAAGACAACGCTGGGATATTGCACCTCCTGGTCGATAGTTAACTTCAGCAACCACATCGTAGAAAGCCTGGTCAATATCTATTGGAATGCAATTAAATATTTTGACATAAAACTATACAAAAGTGATGCATAAAACATGTAGAAGGTAAAGCTAATACTTAAAAAAATATGCACATATATAAAAGCAAACTTTGCATATATTAGACAAAGATATTAACACTATTATGTATGTAAAATTATGTACCACTTACCTTCAGGAACACAATCAGGAATGATACTACTGGGACTCCAGTGCTGTTTGTTAGCACATTCGTATGTCTTTGCTTGATCTCCATCTGTAAATCTGAATCCCTCATTGCACGTAGCCACACAACCAAAGCCATTGTTAGCTTCATTTGGCAAACAATTTACAACGCCATTAGATGGAGGTAGAAGTGACCAGGAAACACAGGCAGAAGCCTGTACAGAAACTTGAAAGTGACATGTGGCTTGATTTCCAAACCTATCAGTAGCAGTCACAGTGACATTTCTGTAACTTCCAATAGGTATATCAGCTGAATCTGGTGAAAGGTTGATTGAAACAGGCCCCGATTTATCAGTGGTATTAATAAGCTGTCTGGTTTCATTAAAGTTCACCTTATAGCTGTCTTGCTTTTCTATTAATTCCACAACATAGGATTGTGGGCACTTCAGTTTAGGTGGTGTATTATCTGAAACACACAGATGAAACCAAAAAAAATTAAAATCCCACTTTCACTATAATAACTGTTAATACTGATAAAAAAAAAAAGATGTTACAGCAAAACGTAAAGAAATAAAATATCTTTCAATGATTAACATAAAAATTTGATTTATACATAAATGTTATTCCCATAGAAAGACAGATGGATTTGACAATGGAAATAAAGTTTATTTCAATTAAACACTAAACATTTTCTAATAGCATAGATTTAATTTAAATTGCACATATCTACTTCTCCAAAACTCTCTTCCATGTTATCAGAAATACCTAACTTACTTACCAGGTACTGTGATATTAACACTGCAAAAAGCAACGTTTCCATTAAAGTCATAAGCTGTGTACTGTATAGTTGTGTCTTTAAATGTCATAATAGGTGGTTTAAAGCCTACAGGGTTTACTTCAATTCGGGCAATGTGGCCAGAATTGTCCACAGCAATAGGAATAGTGTAATTAACAGGCTGTAAACCAGTTAGAGATCTAGATACAACAATTGGATTTGTAGGACAGTTAGTAAACCGTGGTGGCTCCTTATCTGTAAAGAAATAAATATTATTAAATTAAATTTCTTTTTAAATATATCAAGTATAATTTCAAGAAAAGAAGAAAATATAAAATACCAACTCATAAAATTCTTAATACCTTAACTTTTATATGTATAAAAATACATAAGAAAGTCTTATTTTCAGAATCCAACAGCAGAAAAAAAAATTCAAGGTTACATTATAAAAGTCAATTATAACTGAATCACAATATTTTCCCCCCACAAAATTTATTTAAGATTAATGTATTTGTTTCATATATTTTAGCAAACCTACACAAGGTCTATCTGTCCTAGTCTTCTCTAATTTTGAACTAATGGAATAGAAGGAAGACAACAGCTACTGAATGCCAACCATGGTAAACTCTTGGGCTACACTAATCAAATAATGGGATCTAACTACCACAACCCCAATTTTATAATTTTTTGCATTATTGGAAGTAAGAAACACATGCCTAGCTCTATCTAAGGTTAAATAATAAATCTTGCTATGACATAATTACGAGTCAAAGCAAGAAAATATTTTGTTTTAAGTATAGCTATTTTGGATAAATGTTGAATATTCTTGTTAATATATAATTTTGAACCAATCGTAAGTGTTCATTTTTGAGCAACATTAACAGGTAAAAATGCTTTTCTTTTTTTGGTTGATATTTTGCCTACTGTAAAATTTCTTTATCTTTATAGTTTTCAAGGTCAATTTTTTCACTTTTCCTGTCATTGATTTTTAGCATTTGAACTAATTTTCAAAATACAAGTCATGAAGCGCCTATACTCATGGAATTTACATTTCAGAAGGTTGTCATGATTGTTTTTTATTAAATAATTACAAACTTAATAAAGTATACAATAAAGAAATTAATTCTTACCAACACAAAGTGGATACCCATGATCATAGCCCAGCAATACTTCCTCATTTGTGTCTTCACATCCCATTAGGTCAAACTTCAAACATGGATTTTTATGGTAAGAAACAATCCCTAGTATTACATAACGAGCTCTAACACTCAGTGGTAAATGACTAACAGCCAGTTCTCCATAATTCTCTGGATTTTTACTTGTTATATTGAAATTCTAACAAACAAAAAATAAAAAAAAAACATTAGTTGAAAATCAACCTGCAAAGTTTATAAATTTATAAGAAAACAAAAAGTTAAAACAACAAATTACTGAGCATAGAAGAATCTATTGTAGTTACGTACAATAAAAGAAACTTACTAAATAAAGAAACAAAGGTTAAATATGTTTATAAGTTATTTAAAATATTTTTTGAAATTTAAATTCATAATGATATTTCTCCATTCTACTTTTTATAATTTTTTGCATTATTGGAAGTAAACATTTTAGATAAGTAACTAGCAAAAACTTGTCAGGAATCTTAGCTTGAACTAGGCACAGTAAAAAAAATTAATTTTAGCAAGAAACTGTTTCAACATGAGAAGAGTATTCCTACGCTATAAAATATAGAAACAAAAAAAAATATCAAAATATTTACAATTATTTTTGTGAAATATATGTAGATAAATACCTTTTCATTAGCAAACAAATTAGTGTGTTTTTATGAAAGAACTTTAATTCTAAGATGTGTATTATATAAAAAGGTAACATCAATAATACTTAGCATAATGTTTACGATTTTAACAATTTGGGCAACAAATGTACTTATATTTCATAACACTAGCTTTTATTTTGTACAGAACTTACATTCCTTCCAAATTTTTTTAAAATTTATAACTTACTGGAAAGTAGACAATAAAATTTTCAGACTCTTGCACTTTGTAAAAGAAACGCAGTTCAGTTGGTCGGCCAACAACGTCATTGGTAACAATGCCTTTGACTAGTATAGATGTTATACGGTAAATTTTTCCTAAATCAACAGTGACGTAAGTAAAAGGTTCTTTTTGCCCACACCATCCAGTAGCACTATCAAGGTAGACATTCTACAAATGATGATGAAATAAAGATTCATTAATAATATTAATTTCCAATTGAACATTAAAAAATATACCATCTGAAACAACTAATGAATATGATTTACTGCAGTTCTATAGGACAAAGCTTTATATCATATAAATAGCATTTAATCTTTGACTTTGCAACAGTCATTTAGGTATGTTATAACGTAGCTGGCCTAACGAGCTCTTGTATTGAACAAAAGCCTTATTAGAAGCTATAACATACAACAAATAATACAGATAAAATGTTAATATAAACTTCTTTTTGGAAAATCCATACTGGGCAAGCCTAAGAATATGATGTATATTAGCAGTCTTATTGTAATGTAACATCATATAAGTATCACTACTAAATTGGCAAGTAGCAGTTACTTCTTACCATCATATGGGAATGTGACTTATTGTGAAAAAAGAAATTTCATTCTTTCAAATTCAAGACACACACGCATATGCATGCACATGTTCAAAAACAAAACAGACAGTGTTGCTTCATAAAACAACCAGCATCATAATTTCAGACAAAAATATGCTATATATTATATTAAATTTATAAAGTACATTCTTTCTGCTTATATTCATTGTAATTGGTAAAGAAAAAATTGGGAAGTTTAAAAAACGATACGGCTCCTGGGCCAGATAATATTTCCCTAAGGGTTTGAAGGAGGTTAAAGATTGTATATACGAGGTACTTGGTACTATTTTTTGTTAGTCCTTGAATAGTGGGCAGGTACCAGAGAATTGGAAGTTAGCTAATGTAACT